ATAGCTTTCGATAGCCCATTTTAATAAGGATTGTTGCGAAATATAGAAAACCAAGATTCAATAAAAAATTATATGCTTAAAAATATTAAATAAAATTATATTTTATTACGATACAGGTAAAAAACACCTTGTCTGAGTTTAAGTTAGTTTCTCTCTTTTACAATGTATGCTTGTAATTAACCTAAACTATGCCTAAACACACAAATTATTATTACATCACAGACTGTTTTTCGATCACTTTATTTACTTTAATTATCCATAATTAATACATAATGTTCCCGCCATTGTCAGACTTTAACTGATAAATTTGAAACACTCAAAGACTCAGGAGATTCAGAACAAATTGTAAGATCTTGTTTAGATAAATAAAGTGAAAGACAGAAACGCAAAAATCTGATTTTCTTTGGTATTCCTGAATCAAAAGATGAAAATTCTTTAGTTCGCAAAAATGATGATCTTGATCCATTAATGAGGATTATTCATAGAATAATTTGCTGGGGGAATGTTGAACATCAGAAAGTTTCTGGAGTAGAGATGTACGTACAATTTGATTCACAGCTGTGTTTAAAGATCCCAGCTAACAATATTACGTTATAAGAACGTTATAATAACGTTACAGTTTGGTGATAAAAACGTGATTTTGTAGAACCATTTATGTACGTACTGATAACCTGTGTTTGCAAAAGAAGGTAAGTAAATAGAAAAGAGTGGATGAATTCAGCAGTCAGTAAAGAAATTAAACTAAAGCATTCAAAATGGAATAAGTATAAAAAACATAAGACCGACGAGACTTGGAATGATTACGCTACTCAGAGAAACAAAACCACATCAGCTTTGAAATTAGCTAAAATGAATTTTGAGAGTAATCTGGCCAATGACGTAAAAATTAATCCAAAAAACCTATGGAAATATATAGTAAGACGAAAGCTAAACCAGGTATTTTAGTTTGAAAAATAAATGGGGAAATTGCTGTGACGGAGAATGATAAAAAAGCTAATTTATTTAACGCGTCTGTTGCCTTTGTTTTTACTATTGAAGATATGTCTAGTAAGCTATGATAAAATCGAAAGCACCCATTTTTTGTAATTTAGCAGAGAGTTTAGCCATAGATTGAAATTGGCAAAAGGCTTTGCTAGGCTAAGAGTCTGTCAGAATTTTTTCTCAATTTGCATTGTTAATCTATGGAACAACCTGCCAAAGAATATTATTGAGTCTGTACACTGAATACATTTAAAACTCGATTGGAAATGCACTGGCGTCGTCATCAGCTGAAGTTCACCCCATACGAATGACTTGAGGATTGTCACGTACAGAGGGACACACATGCCTAAAGTTTAACAAGTCTCAATATCAAGGTACAGTACATCAATGTAGGTAGATAAAATTCAGCTCGTCAAAATTTAGGAATACGTCACAAGAAAATTACCTCGACAACTACAGTATTTAGCTAGTATTTTGTATTGCCACCACAATTCAATGGTAACTATCCAATCGCCATTACTTATCAATGAATATGAGGAAGTTATATTATGTTTTTGGACAAGGCTATACGCACAGCGGCTGTGTATATAATGACCCTTTTTAAATCACGTGATACTATGGTGTGCTGCAATTGGTTGCTTGTCGCTGTGTATTATAACAAAACCACTTTTGTTGTACACAGCCGCTGTACGTATTATAGCCAGTCCCTATGTTTTTATATGAATAATCATTGAGGTCAAACGTGAGCGACCTTGAATACGGCTGAAATGGCACAGAACATTGTATTACCGGAGTTGTACGAAAGTGACAAAAAATTTCAACGACAACTTTTGTTGTCACGTTTAATTGCTTTAAAGCCTACCTAGGTTTGTAGGAAAATTCCACGGTAGTATTTTTTTATGCTCGGCTTTACAGAGCAGCAGATTTGATATAAGGCCTAATAAAAACTTGTTTGTTTGCCGTCATCCGCCGCCCCTAAAATTCCGATTTTTTTTCAGGTCTGAATGCAAATAGTGGAATACAAGCTATGTGGCTCGGTTCCAGTAGATACAGAGAATATTTTGTCATTCTTTACGCGTCCTACGAAATTCTTACGAGACAGCACTAGTCCGTGAATTTGTGAACAAGAT